GCTGTGTTGTGTGTGTGTGTGTGATGTGTGTGTGGTGGCGCGGGCGTGTTAGCGGCGTGGTGCGTGTGCCGTGCGTGTGCCGTGTGCGTGGCATGTGGCTCGTGAGTTTATACCCACTCGTTAGCGACTGGACTCCGATTGAATTCGCGCTGCTAATATATTCCCCAACACTCACATCACACACACACACACACAATCATATATATATATATGATATATAGTATACTAATTATATATTAATATTGATCTGTGTATGAGCACGCGTAATTCCTATTCACTTGAATAATGAATGTGTGCGTATATGCTTACCAGACTCGAACATATGACGCCAACAAAGTGTGACCAGAGTGTAATGTGATTTTCTAACTTGAACGCCCGGCGTGTATGGCAACTGAATGCAGGCCTATAAACATTACACACACAGCTGGAGGCATCAAATTAGTAGCATACTGGCAAATAGAGTGAAGAAGAAAAACAAAAAATAATTACATGCGACACTAATCTAAATAAACTAAAGCCAGCAGATATATCTGGCTGCTTTTAAGAGGCTGATTATACAAGACCGGGGCGCATGTTGTCAGAAAACATCACAGATTGTAGTATGTGTATAAAAATGTTATAACGTTATACGACACTTCACTTAAAGCTTACGCCACTTCACCCTGATAGTCTTAACTATCATAAAGTTCACGCGCCCAAAATTACGAAGGTACTCTTATAGACACCGGTCCACGCCACGAAAACCGAGGAAATAAATAGGCCCCCTCTGAGACAGAAACGTACATCACGTACGTCCACATTTTGTCGCTCTTTACACCTGTTGCCTTACGTGCATGTAACAGGATGATATATTTTGCAATACACGACGCACACAGTACGGCATTTTTTCAACACATGATCGGATGAAATAAGCTGTGAACGCGCCCTAACAATACGCCACGCCGAGGATCGAGGAACGCGCGAGAGAATAGATTAGAGATACTAGAGAAGAAGAAATAGAGAAGAAAGAGAACAACGTGAGAAAAGAGAAGATAAAACAAACTTGAAAATGAGAAAAAGATGTGGAGAGAGAGAGATACAGATGGAGGAGCAGAAGAGAGAAGAGAAAAGAGTAGTTGCATGAGTGAGAGAGAGAGAGAGCGAGAGAAAGAGAGAGAGAGAGAGAGGAACGTATGTACGTGGAATAGAGACTCAGTAGCACAGCAGCTCAGAATACTCTGTTAATCGATTCAACATGAAAGAGAGCTGATCATCACGACTAGCGATACTCGAGCCGTCATAATTACTATAAAACACAGCTAATTGGGCTCGGCCGCAGCCTCCACAAAGCAGCCAATGTAATTACACACCAAACTTTACTAGGCACTGTTACCAAATAATTCCATTATGCAAATGAGATAAGCATCTGCACAATGCCGCGTGCTGTGTGCGCAGCTTGCAAAGGCAAGCGAAAAATATCACGTTATCGGCGACGAAACAAAAATCAGATTAAAATTAAACGCTATACGAGAGAATATCGCAGAAACGCACGCACGCACGCACACACACGCACGCACGCTACTTCGCCGCACTTGTAAAGAGCCGACTACGAAGTATTGCGACATAAACAAAATGGAAGGCATAATAAACAAGCAGTGCGAAGGGCTACTGCTACTGCTGAATGGCGCTTTAGCTACATAATGACTAACGACATCCTATCCAGTAGCGTCACCATGATCTCTCATCCGAGATATCACCCCACCTCATCTAGACACTACTATGCTAGATAAAATCAGCACTCCCTTAATTAACGCAATGATTCGTGATGCAGCTTACACCAGCAGAACACCACTGAACGACGGTGAGAAATGAGTTCGAATTAATCATTTATGTGAGTACACATGCGATGCAGCCACACTGAAGCAGATGGCTGCAGGAATCGTACATCGGGACCACATTTGCATGCATCGCAGACGATTCTAATTCCACTTGGCGAAATTTCTATGTTTGAGTAGGAAACCAGCAATGTATGCTTCGTAAGGGGAATGACTGCACTATTTGAGAATCTGTTTCAGCTAAGAGCATAGAAAAGGCTTATAAGAGTGCTCAAATAAGCTTTATACACTAAAATATTTACAAGACGAACGGGGTTTTGAACGGCGCTGAGTAAAATAATGAATCCAAAACGGAAAACTGTTCATAACAAACACGCGCACACACGCACGCACGCACGAACGGACGCACGCACGCACGCACGCACGCACGCACGCACGCACACACACATACACACACACACACACACACACACACACACACGCACACACACACACACGGGCGCGCGCGCACGCATATATCAGGCAAACATACAACATGTCGACATAGGACGTTTTCTCGCGCTAGCGGTATACACATACACCGTGGTTATTGCCTCAGGTAATGCTAGTTTTTAATGAGAATGATCAATGTTGTACTAAACATTTTTCCCCTGGTAGCCATCAACTATTCTCGCTGCTTACATGATGTTCTTTCGGCATCTCATTCCACGCCGGCCCACATCGCAGCTAGCTAATCGCACACCTGAGCACTGCTATATTCAATGTACTAACACACCCGATATATTCGAATAACATCCGATGCATTCCATACATGCTACTGCTATTCTTATATATTCGACATGCTATGATGCTATTCTTATATGATCAGGCATGCATATGCTATTCTTATATATTCTACATGCTATAATGTATTCTTATATATTCACATGCTATATTCTATTCTTATATATTCCTACATGGCTATATGGCTATTCTTATATATTCTACATGCTAATCTAATTCTTATATATTCTAAACATGCATATGCTATTCTATATATTCAACATGCTATATGCTATTCTTATAATATTACTACATGCTATATGCTAT